CGGAGAGCTTCCAGTTCAGTCAACTGGTCTTCCCGCGTGTCCTCAGACATCCTATGACTGGTTTATTGAAGTATGGGTCACAGACAATAAATCTTGTCTACTTAAGTATAGAGCAACAACCGTAAGGTTAGGGAATAGAAATTCAAGAAAACCAGTGTAAGTCTTAACCTCTCAAAAAAAAAACAACAGATTAATTAAGGATTTATACAACCAATGCATTTTTGTACACTTCAATTCAACAAATAATACCGAAAGAGCAAAAACAAAAAACACGTTGACACTTCGTTTTATTGGAAAGTTTTCTTACTGTGCAAATCTCTCAAGATTTCATCAAGGTCATCGTCTTCCAATTTATTCTCAAGGGAAGGAATCAGTGCCTAAAAACAGTCTCATCTTTTAACTAAGAATTATATCGAATATTTCGGAATCATACAAACAATGTACTATTTGTACCTTAGCCTCCTCAGCTGTTTCGGGACATAAATTGACTATCTGCGCAACTTCGAACTTGTGTAAAGGCTTCTGGGAGAATATTGCACGAACAGCTTTGATAGTCTCTCGATTTTTGAAACGTGACAAACGCCGAGCGTAGTTAAGAGTCTTGATGAAAACCTGAATGCACTCTCAACCAATATTACATTGAAAGACAAACCAATCGAGCAGTTCACAGTTTATGATCCCCTTCACTGTCTGATATATGGATGGGCTTTTGGAAACAATCCACCAAGTACCAGTAGTCAAACTTCCCAAAAGTATCAAGAAGAAACCACCCTTGAAACTTATGGCCTATTTGCTCATCATCACATAAACTGATCAATTCTACGAATCAAGTCCATGAGTCTCATGGGAGTTAAGGGTATCAGGCACAAACACAACTGGGAGTGGAATCGTTTATTAACCACACAGAGCATTTATATACCCTCTCACTATATATCCTTTATCACTCTCTTCGATCACTCGCTCACTCCCTCATTCTTGCCTTCCTCACGCACACCACCCCTCACACCTCCCCCTAGTGACCCGACGGTCACTCGCTCGGGGTGGTCCAACGTGTTTTCTCTTCATACACCATAACACATTGTTAAAACTCCTTTATTAAACACATCATTGCTCAACGCCCAAGGGTTGGGCGCCCTCAGCGCCTTCGTCGCTAAGTCCGCTAGTTGAGCGGCTGCGGCTCCGACGCCGAGGGCCCTCTCGGCCACGATCACTTAAGCGGCCCCGCCGGCTTGGGCTTCTCCTCGAGCGGCGGGCTCTGCTTCGGCTGGATCGGTCACGGCGGGAGCGGCTATCTCGGCCACGGCTGGAGCGGCGGGATCTGCTTCGTGAGTGGCTTCGGCTTCTTGATCGCCTCCGCGTAGAACGGCTCCGCACGACTTCTTCCTTGAGCTTCCTGATTGCCGCCCACAGCGGCTTATTGCGCCGTGGGCGGCGCCTTCCTCCCAATGCGGGCGCCGACGGCGGTGCCACGCACGACACCACCGCCGGCCACGCCGCGACAGACGGCGTCTGGACAGCCGGGACCGCCTTGCGGCCCGGTTAGGACGATCATTGGCGGCCCGGCTTGCTGCTGGACTTGTCCTCCTGGAAGCGCTCCATTTGTCGGCAGGGCGAACATAACTGAGGAACCACACTCCTCCAAGCCCCTTTTATAGGGTCTCGAGTGATCTCGCTTGTTTTTATTTCCATCTTCCCCCGCTATCCGTATCACATTTATCTTCCTCCGCTTCCTATTTTCCAAGAAGTCCCTCATCTTCTCGGTTGCTTGCCGCTTCCTGCGCGAGCGACGCAACCTTTCCTGCTCCGACGGTGCCGCCCCAACCTGTCTGCCCGGTGAGCTTCTTCCTGTACTTCTACTGGGCAATTTCCGATCCATTTTCCTTAAGAGGTTGTCATCTATTGCTTCCCAAGGAATCACCCTCGGTTTCATTTGGTCCGCATGGGTTTTCCTTACCCCCATGCCATAGTGCACCTCATAGGTGCTTGACCCCAGGACCTTCATCACCATCCCGGGTATCCACCGGTCTCCTGACCCGGTATAGTTCCTTATGAATACTTCCTGTCCCACTTCGAAAGTTCTTTCCTTCTTGCCTCTGTCATAATTCCTCTTCATCTCTTCTCTATATTTACTTGTCCCCTTTCTCTTTCCAGCCTTGATAATGTCTAATGTCGTCCGCAAACTTCTTCCCATCAGCATTTCTGCCGGTGCCTTACCGGTTGCTGCATGGGGTGTGACTCTATACTCGAATAGGAGATCTACCACTGCGTTTTCCAACGTTTTGTTGGACCGCAGGCCTTTATACAAGGCATTTTTAAACGTTTGCACGAAGCGTTCCGCCTCCCCATTCGAATTGGGATGGTATGGCGGAGTGAATATCTGCTGGATTCCTCTTCCTTCGCAGTATTCACGAAACTCAGCCGACGTAAACGGGGGTCCATTGTCTGACACCAACTGCTCCGGCAATCCGTTTCTACTGAAGACCTCTCTTAGCTTCATTATCGTTTTCTCGGCCGTGGTGGCACCCATCTTGACCGCTTCTGGCCACTTTGATTTAGCGTCCACCACTATAAGCCATTTCACTCCCCCGCTAGTCTCACAAAAGTCGACATGCAACCTCTGCCATACCCTCTCCGGCTCTTCCCATGGGTGTAAAGGTATCCGTACCGGATCTTTACCCATCACCGCACATGTGGCGCACTTCTTCGCCACCTGATCTATCGCCTTATCCATGCCCGGGAACCATATCTTGGTTCTCGCCAGGCTAACCATTCTATTCCTACCATAATGGCTATTATGCAACATCTTCAGCACTACTTGCTGAAACTTTTTTGGGATGACTACTCTATATCCCCACAATATACATCCATTGTGGATTGATAAGGCTGCCTTCTTCACGGCGTATGGTTTCAGCCTATCATCCCTGACCTTTACCGGCCACCCCTCCTGCATATAATCAATTACCATCTGCAGTATGGGGTCTTCTTTTGTGGCCTTAGCTATTTGTGCTTCTGTTACAGGCAGCTTTTCCACTGCTTCTTCTGCCATCTGCTGGATGTATAACTCATTTACTACCATCTCAGCACTAGGCAACTCTTTTGGATCGGGTAATCTCGACAACCCATCCGCGTTGCCAAACTCGGCCGTCCTTCTATATTCGATTTCAAACGAATATAGCATGAGCCTCAATGCCCATCTGTGCAGTCTCTTCGCTGCTATCACCGGCAGTCCTTGCTTAGAACCGAAAATCCTCACTAACGGCTGATGATCCGTTAGCAACGTAAACCGACGACCGTAAAGGAATTGATTAAACTTCTCAACTCCATATACTATTCCCAACGCCTCCTTTTCTATTTGGGCGTAATTTCGTTCCTGTTTCGTCAAGGAACGCGATGCGTACGCAATTACTTTCTCACTTTTATCGTCATATCTATGGTATAATACGGCTCCAATACCATATTCTGAAGCATCGGTAGCTAATACTACCGGAACATCCGGATTATAATGTGCTAATGTATCCGCAGCTGTCAGCCTTTCACGGATTTGACTGAAGGCGATTTTTTCTTCTGCACCCCATTTCCAGGATGCGCCCTTCCTCCGTAAACTATTCAACGGAGCCGCTAGCGTCGCCAGCCTCGGGACAAATTTACCATAATATTGCACCATTCCTAAATAGGACTCTAATTCTTTTATATTCTTAGGCTCTGGCATGTTCAATATCGCCTTTAGTTTATTCGGAGATGGCCTGATGCCCTTCTCATCGACCACATGGCCTAAAAACTCCATCTCCTCCTTGAAAAACTCGCATTTTTCCCTTTTGAGGCGAAATCCTGCCTCATTTAATCTATTCAAGACTTTTTCTAGTCTCTCCAAGTGCGTCTTATCATCTGGACCCGTAACTGTAATATCGTCCAGGTAAATCAGTACTCCTTCTATTCCCGCCAGCGTCTCCTCCATTATCCGCTGGAATATTGCTGGCGCTGACGCTATTCCAAACGGGATCCGCGTATACTGGAATAGCCCTTTATGCGTATTAATAGTCGTATATTTCCTTGAGCTTTCCTCCAGCTCTACCTGCATATACGCATCTGAAAGGTCCACCTTTGAAAACTTCTTGCCACCATGCAACATATGAAATAAATCATCTGGCTTAGGCAACGGGTACTGATTTATATCTAACTGCGGGTTTACTGTGACCTTATAGTCGCCACATATTCTTATTTTCCCGCCTGGTTTGGGCACAACTACTAGCGGCGTGGCCCACTTGCTATGCTCTACCCTCTTTATGGTTCCGTTCCGAACCATTTCTTCCAACTTAGCCTCAACTTTGGGCCTCAACGCAATGGGAACTGGTCTAGCTCTATAAAACTTGGGCACGACTGCCTCAGTTTTAAATTTGAGCTCCGCTCTTGTAGTAGTACACCTGCCCAAACCATCTTGAAATAGCCGTTTATTGCTATTCAGAATGCGCACCAATTGTTTTTTAATTTCTACTTTGGGCATCTGCGTAACACTGTGCACCCTGTCATAATGTGGTCCACAGTCAATCTGCAATCTTCTTATCATGTCTCTACCACACAAAGAGTGGCTTGCCTCTTTGAAGACATGTACATCTACTATCGCCTCTTTCCCGGCGAAACTGATGTGCAGAGGCACTTTGCCCTGGAACGTAATACGCTTATTATCAAATGCTGTCGCCGCTACCTTCGCTTCTTCTAACCGCGGTCGGCCTAGCATCCTCCACGTTCTCTCATCAATGATAGAGAGGGATGCGCCTGTATCCAGCTCGAACGAGACCTTCTTCCCATTCACTTCCATATCAAGCATTCGTGGCGGCTCATCCACCAACCGGTCTATCTCATCTCGAGCGGGCATACCCCCGGCCATCGTTGCCTTATCAGTGTTTTGCTCATTTCTGTCGGTAGCATCCATGGTAGCGGCTTCCATGTTTTGCTCATTTCTGTCGGCAGCGTCCACGGTAGCGGCTTCCACCGCTTGAATACTGCATCCGCCACGAGCAGTGCCGTCATTCTCTGTCATTCCGTAAGTTCCTCTCAGAGAACTGCTCTGCTCTTCTTTCAGGCGATTAGCTGCTGTTTCGCCCAGACGGCTTCCACACACCGGATTCTTGCTGTCAGCTCTACGACAGTGGGTTAAGCGTGATTTACGAACTACATTCACGCTCTGACTTACCAGCTCTTCGCCACTGTCGGAGCTTCCGGCGGGCTCCTCACACCAGTGAACCTGGCGGGAGACTTTACGGCCTGCCTTAGCATTCTTCCAACATGTCGCTGCTAAGTGGCCTTTTCTCTGACATACTCTACAGTACGCAGATTGCCTCCTGAAACATTCGTAACCGGCATGGCCTTGCGCTCCACAAACTCTACACCTACACTCCCTCCGAGCTGGGCCCTTGCTCGGTTTCTTCTTCTGTTCACCCACTTGTGCGCGCATAGCCAACTGCCGGTTACGCATCCTCACCTGAGCCACTCCTGCTGCTTGGGGTCCCTCCTTCAAATGTGGAGCATTTTCTCCAACTCGCTCAAATGCTTCGGCCTGCTCCAATGCCTCCTTCGATGTCAGGTCTTCCTTCTCCAGCAATCGCTTCCTCGTCTCCACCGAAAGCAAGCCTCCGATGAAGACCATCGTTACCACCGCATCTCGGTGGTTTTTGATTTCTTCGAAACTGCAGGTATTCGCTGCCTTCTGCAGCTCCGCGTAGTACTCGTGCAGGCTTGTCCTGGCTTCTGGACCTTCGACATGAGGCCAAAACGCTCCGCTAACACGAGCTTCTTCGGTTGGAAATGGCGTTCCATGGCCTGTCGGAGGTCCTTGAGTTCCACCTCCTCCAACTCCCTACCCTGCAGGAGTGATTCGAGCAACTCGTAGTTCGCGTTGCCCACCTCCTGCAGTTTTCTTCGGTTACCTTTCTCAGCTCGAGGAAGTTGTTAAACAACTTCCACCAGGTTCTCCACGAGGATCCCGGAACATATGGTCCCGGGGAGCGACCCCGGTATATTTCTACACCGGGTTCGCCCGTCGTGGGTCTCCCAACACTGCTACCGGCCTCCATCTTCACATCCATAGCGCCTCAATGTCGAATATCCTCGAGTTCTTCTTCGGCCTCCTCGCGTCTTCTTCGGTTTGACCTGATCGCCAGTTAAGGGTATCAGGCACAAACACAACTGGGAGTGGAATCGTTTATTAACCACACAGAGCATTTATATACCCTCTCACTATATATCCTTTATCACTCTCTTCGATCACTCGCTCACTCCCTCATTCTTGCCTTCCTCACGCACACCACCCCTCACAACGATGAGACTGGACTAGGTTTGTGATGGGAAGTGGGGATGCTGAATAATGCCCCAGTGGCGAAAAAAGCAAAGAAATCCGTCAAAAGGCGCAAAATGGGACCCCTTTCTTTGCCCGTTGACCTCCGATAATGGACGAGCTAGCAACCAATTAGAGGTCTTTTGCACATGTTAACCGATAGCCACAATCACACCAGCATGCTTTGATTGATAACGCGCTCTATGGGTACGCACTCAAAGCGGAATACCTCATCAAAACGATGTTCGAAGGGCGCTGCTGCTGGAGGCGGAGCTCAGAAAGGAATGGCAAGCCCAGTACGCTGCAGCTAGCGCACCTTTGACCACAAAAACGCAACATTTCGCTTCCTTTGGCCCCTGACTACTGCTTCCACTGGTGCATGTACTTCCACGCTGCATACACTTTTTAATCCCTTGCTTTAAGTATAGTTCCGGCTGGAGGCGGGCCCAGAAGCGGTGCATGCCACTGTAGGTGTATGTCGCGCGATCGCAGTCGTGAACCACGACAGGTTGAAAGCAGATCTTACCTTAACGAGCTAAGCCGTAAGTGAGCTGAAGTGATGCTCTTCTGCTTTCGCGGTGGTGAAATGGCCTTTAGAGAAAGACGATCGCGCCAAAGTGTCGGGCACCTAATATAGTTGTCGAAAAAGCTCTTGCGCATTTTCTTCTTCATCCTTGCAGAATCTTTTGGGATCGTTTTGAAACATTCACTGTTGTGAGCGGTGGTTAATGCTCTCTCCACAGCATTTCTGTCGTAGCATTTCGCAGCGTTTGAAGCTTAAAAATCGCCTTTCACTGAAGGTATGTTCGACTGCTCCTGCCTTTATAAGCCCACAATGCGTCGATTGAAGCGAAGCAGTGGGAGTTCTACGTGTTGTGATGGACCTCCGAACTATCTTTCACAATATGCCAATTATTTGGTTGCCGAGTTCCAGATACTTGAGAAAAAACCACAAATCTGGTCAGGCCTGCCATCATTGACGAGTGTATTCTGAATTCGATTGGAGAGAGTGCTTAGTGCAATGCACGGTATTGGCGGAGCTCTTTCAGTGCTACCAGACCACAATGGCCGTTCCTCAATATCGCCTCTAAAGAAGTGAAATTATGGCGAAAGGATATTTTGAGACCTGACTGACAACAGGCTATTGAGACCATTAAATTTTGCAAGGACATTTTGATTTGCCGCCCGTCTATCGCTTGATCCGCCAACTTTGTTGGTGGTGTCAAGAAGTGGGATCCTCAGATAAACCGCACGCGAAAGCACGACTGGCTCGGATGCGTAGAACAAAGGATTGCACGCCGATTAGAGAACAGTAACCTGGGAGGCAACATTGAAAGCTCATGAGGCTGCAAATGTTTCGCTCACGGAGAGCTGCTGCCAACGAAGTCCACTGCTATTGGTGAACAATAATGTTAGCAAGTGGATTGGTTTCCCGGCATGGTGCCCGGAAAATCGGAGAAACTTTACTTTATGTCGGCAACGCTCGCCCACGAATTACGAAGAAGGTTCAGGAAAGGTCTCCAGGCTCGTTATAGAATGATCTGACCCACTTAGTGTGTACAGCAAACCTGGTAGAGACGGGCTACCATACGCTTCTGTTGCCGTCGAAGGTACTGAAATAGGGGCAGTTCGATGATCCGGACCTACTCGGAGTCAACCTCTTTGAGCTTTTCGCCCCAAAGACTCGGGATTTCTGAACCTGAAGTTGCCTGCTGAAGAGCAATGTTTCGACGATTATGGTGGTGTATGTATTCAACAATTGTTGGCTGCACTAAAGAAGAAAAACAATTTTGAAAAAAAGTTGCCAAATGCGCAAAGTTTTCCGACAACCTAATAAAAGTCTCCACCTAAAAATCCGTTGGGAGAAGAATAACATTAATTACATCTGGCTTCATGAGCGTCGTGAACGCCGGCGCTCTGCCAAATGGTCCAGCAGAGTCAAAAGGAAGTAGTAATCGAAGCAAATGTGCCTTTAGCCGCTGTTGATAAAACCTTGTTAGATCAGCGTGCAGCCTTTTTTTCGTTTACGACTCGATCCCTTCCTTCATGATCGTCATGCTTCTCCTGCTGAAAAATTCGATTTTTCATAGTATTTGATTGTGAGTTATCCTCTGCTTTTGCTCTTTCAGGCTGCTTCATATGGATCTTTGCAACTGTAACACACATGTCTTATGTCGAAGCCATGGCATGCTACAGCAACAGCCCTTACGAGGTTGTTATCATATATATCTAATCTCGAATATCAATATGAACTGGCAAAAAGCTCGAAAACGTCAACATTCTCCACGGCCTTGCTGCGGCTCATTTACTGATGTCACAGTCTGTGGCTCAAAATGCGCAAAGAATTCGCAGTGCTTACAAGTGGTGAGCGCCGCTGACCGCCATCTCTCTTGCTCACCTCTTTTTCACAATGCCACTATTGGAGGCCGTTGTGTCTGAGTTCTGACACATACGTTCTCTACACTCGAAATCTGGCCCCTCTTCCCTCAACACACATTGTCACATAAACTGTCTGTTTCTCTGTACTTTCTTCTTTCTTCGCCAGCGTATAGTTTGCGCACTTTTATCTATTTTTGATGGAATAATCACATCATTTTGATCGTCGAAAGGCAATTAATTTCTGTAATGTTCTACCATATCAGATTGGTCAGTAAGAAATGCCATGTTCGAACCACGCAAGCTCCAATATGGAAACAACAAAAAGGCCTAGCAATCTAAAAAATGTGCCCTATTTTGAGCAACTACTTCTCTCCATCTTCGCTACGGTGAATGGCTGCCTTCTTGTACACCCTTCTACAACATGAAAAAGTTGGGTGGACAGCCAAACCATGAGTTCGTTGAGGTTTTTAACTTATTCTCGGCTGTTTAGTGCTGTGCTGATGGTGAGTTGAATGAGTGGTAATAGGAAGGGTCAGGTGTACGCTGATATGCTCGTGAAACTTCCACCCAAATATCCGACCACCTTTTTGCGAATTTTGAATTCGCCACACTTACTTTTTGGCTGGCGTTTGTTTCCAGCCGCTAAGTCCTTTTATTGCCTGGTTGACTTTATGAATTCTCTGCAAATGACCATCAATGGCAGCAGGTATAACCAAGTTTTTTAGGATTTCCTTGTGTACACTACTGCTCGATAGCTTTCTTCAAAAGAATCCTCGAGAAAAAATCGTGTTTCTATCTCGCCCATAATTCACTGGCTTTGGAACGAAAAGAACAAAAAATTGCATTGTTTTGGTAAAAAAAACTCAAAAAACCGAAAGGGCTGCTACGCGTTCAAAGTACCGCCGGACATCTGTCACAAATGCTGGCGACGGGAATGCTTCCACTTGGTTCTTGGAGTGCCGTCACTAGAAACTCTTTCTGGCCTTTTGACTTATTGCATTCACATCTCACACTTCTACTGCATCCTATTCTATCGATTTTGTCTCTATTCTCCAAAATCGCACGCTTTAACCCGATTCTTTCATTGCGTCGCCTGATACGTAGCCGCCCCAAGGCGGACTTCTTTTCCATGCCCCGCCTTTGGCTCCGCGCCACTTACCTTCGATTGTCCATAGAGTGTGGTTTTCGTAAGTTTGTTTCTCTTCGAAAACTGAGTTCTTGTGAAACATTTTATGTTGTCTCTAGTGGTCACAGCTGAAATGAAGGAAGAACTGCGAGATTTCTTCGGGAAGGATTCCTTTAAGGTTTCATTAGCCGCAACTCCACTA